TCGACCCCAAATGGGGTCCCGACCCACAGGTTGAGAACCACTGGGTTAGGGGAAAAGCCCTTACATTCAACTGTAATCAAACCATAAGACAGATCTCCAAACAACAGCCAAATAACTAGAACTAAAATATTCAGAAAATTGTATTGATAAAAGAAAGTACTAAGCTAAACTGCCCTTTTAAGTATCTCTCTCTCTAGCACTATCATACTCACCAGATGAACCAGACTATTTTGCCGTCTCAGTGAGAAATAGTCAATGGAGGGTGTGGTAACAGCCACCTCAGGGTGCAGAGACATCTAAAGGAGTGGCTTGGATTTCAGAACAGGTAGGAGTCAGGACTAACATTAAATACAAAAGTTGGCAAATCCCTAAGGCAGCAAAGATTGAATATACCAAGCATGAACATGTACTGGGTATCAAAAACAAAAAGAAAACTAAATGTGGCTACAAGCAACCCAGATTTCTAAACTCATCACCATGGAAACTTCAGTGAGGATGCAATTAAAGTCTCCGTCCTCCTTGGTTTTTTTAAAGGAAGATGGTAAAGTACAAAGGTTCTAACATCAACTCTGTAACAGAATGCTTTTTGAGTCACGTCCCATTGTTAAATAAAAATAATAGTTACACTCCAGTGCTTCATTCTGAAGGTCACTAATCAGCCAGAAGCTACCCAGAAAAAATTATATTAACGGACTATAGAAAATATCATGGACCCTCTTGATAAGGGGTTATTTCACCTATGTTGTGTCTATATCTTTTTTTTCTTTTGGTGTATTTTCACACTGAATATTAATTATGAGAGTTAGTCTAAATTATGTTAAACTACAGGTTGAAGCATTTATGGTTTCAATTATAAACTGTTGCTTCAGGATAGCATAATCAGACTAAGCCCAAGTTAGGCAGGAAAGAGCTTAATTTTTTTTTTTACTGCTATAGATACAACATAATAATTCTTTCAATGTGTCATCTTCATTGCAAATAAAGGCTTTGTTAGCTCTTTTTTGCACAGATAAGGAAAAGGAAGGAATATAATTTTTTTGCAGCCTGTAAGATTTGTGATTCTGATCCAGAGGCAGAGCCGACAATATTTAAAATGGAAGAAGTGTGTGTGATATTACATTACATGGAATATACACAGTATATTCTGTTTTGTTTAAATAATGCTTTTAGCTTTATGGTGTGAAGGGAAGCATATTTAATTATTTATTTATAATATTTGTAGACTGGCAAATTAAGACACTGTGCAGTGAACAACAAAACAAGTATAAAACAGAAAACAGCAATTTAAAAGGAATCAATCTTCCCTTTGAGGGAAGAATTTGGGTGTATTTTTAATTAGAATAACTCTAGGCAATTCACTACATATGCTGAAAGAGTAAAACTATATTAAATGAATGATTCATCAAGGAGCAGGTGCCCAAAATAAGGTGGCAGTGCATTTAAACCAGCATAATACATAATGCAATGGGGCACTCCAATAAAGGATTTATTCAACAAATTGCATTTTTAGGATTTATAATATAATCAGATGCTAATGGAATAAAACTAGACTCTTCTTTAATCTAATATAGCTATAAAAATTCCATATGTAGCTCTAGAAGATTAAAATCTATACATATGTTTTATATACAAATTCAGTGAATGAACACTACTCTGTTTTTATTCCTTTCTGAAAATTTGTAAAAGATTCAATTGTGGATGCATTCTGAACCAAAAGAGTTTATTTTGTTTTCTTCAAGAATCCAGAGAGGTGCAAAATACTAACTCAAAAGATTAGATAAAGAATAGTTAAACAAGATCCCCTGGGATTTATTTTCAGACAGATGATAAAGAATACAACAATTTTTTTCTTTTTCTACTCTTTTTGTAACAGTCCTAGCCTTATTAATGTTCCCTCTTCCCAATCATCTTACAAGGATAGTCTTCTATAATATTATACAAACTACATTACTATGAATATCGGTAAATCAATGGCAACTTGTCATCCAGCAATGTAATGGAGTATCTCAGTTAAATTCTACTTAATTATTTATGTTTTTCACTGATAAAAAGGGACATTTTCTTCAAGGAAGGATAACAATAATTTCTCTAACTATAAGCTGGTTGCTCTGACAACTGTAGTATATTCACCCATGTTGTATGGCTGTAGTATTATTATTATCCTTCTCATCCTCTCTACTACCCCCTCTTATCGGTATCATTATTATGATTATGATTATTTTGTTGCTTTGCATGTACACTGAGAGTTTCTGCACCAGAGACAAATTCCTTGTGTGTCTAATCACACTCAGCCAAATAAAATATTCTATTCAAAGCAGAATCTATAGACCAGCAGAATGCTAAGGAAAGGTTAGATATGAAGATTTCCTTAAAAACAGCGCTTTTAACATTCATATAGGTAGGGCTTTTTTTCTCACAGAACACCCAGAACGGAGTTCCGGCACCTTTTTTGGATGGAACCTTGTAGAGTAGGCAAGGCGAGTTGTATGACGTATGTGAGTTCTGGCACCTTTTTTTTTTTTTTTTAGAAAAAAAGCACGGCATACAGCTATGTGTGCATAAGATTCCAATTCTATTAATTGGAGCCTCAAATCCGAGTCCTATAGAAGTTTAGTTGGAACTAAATGGATCAAATACCCAAGTAGCTGCCATTATAGACATTTAGAACTCTCTAAGGGGAGAAACTCAGGAATTGCTTCAGTAATCATCAAAAAGCTCTTACATTCCCCTGCAGCCAAAAAGACCAACAAGATAAACTCAGAGAAGCAGAGATAATTTAAAAATTAATTAAGATTTTAACTCTGATATTCTAGAGGTTAAAAAGAAGGAAGAAAGAAATATGGATTTAGAGGGTTTCTACATTAAGGAAGCCTGTGGTTTGATGGTAAGATTTCTAAGTAAGGAATCAGCAAATTATTTGATATCAAAATTTAGCAATGCAACTTGCTGCTGAAGTCTAGAAATAAAGTGTAATGCAGAATGTCATCAATAAATTGCTTGGAAGCAGACTTAAGAATCTAGGAACTGTGAAATGGCAGTAAAAATTAAAACTTATGATTTTACAGTTTGATCCAGACAAGTAACATTTAAAATTCCTGAATTATTGTCAATGCTGTTATCTGTTTAGGATTGTTTTAAGCCTACAGTATTTCTGATAAACAGCTAAGTATATTATCAATATAGGTGTTATATATTTAAAAGAATTCTGAATAGACTTAGAATATCCATATTCACAAATCAATGGTTTAAAGGTTTCAAAGACTAAAAAGTATGTTTCACATGATTTTAAAATGAGATTAATGCAATAACATTTGTTTCCTTTCATGTTTTATTGGACACATTTGAGAATGTTTAAAAAGAATTGGCTACAACCTTATTATAAAATGCTGAAGGGACATTTACTCCCACAATATGGATTTTCCCATTGTATCTGTATTATATTACCATGATCAATACAGTTTAACCATGGATATAATTTTTAACAAAATATTATCAATTTGGGATTTATAATTATATAAAGAACTACGGATTTATCAGCCATGGGGCTCAACAAAAAAGACTATTCTTCAAGTTTGCAAAGATTACATGTTCACAGAATTACAATTTTGACTGAAAAATGTGTGTTGCTTCTGTCTAAATTGGATCTCGATTGGTAAAATGAAAAGGCCAGATAATATTATTCCATGCGATCCTGAAATGACATGTTTAAAATCTGAGCTAAGTGATTTATATAAATAAGGAGTTTCTTATCATTTGATAAATGTTTTTAGGAGGAAGGAGGGGAGTACATTAAAGCAACAGAACATTAAAAATAAGGAATTTAGGAAAAAAAAATTGACAAACAGAACCTGTTAAGGATGATATATATTTAAGACATATTAAACTATACTGTATATAGAAAGACATGGATACATGGATAGTTTGGAGTAGCTTAATTTCAATACAAAATATTAAGATATAGTGGCAATTTCTTTTTAAAAAAATATGCATCTTCTTATGTCCTGCTGAATATTTCTAAAACATTTTACAGATTAATAGCTTTTTGAGTGCAACCTTTAATATATCACACAAGACTCATTGTGCTTCTCAGTGAACAGCTGGCTGTTTTCTTCTGCTTAAAAACATGGTGCTTCTGGTTGCCAAAGTACCAAGAGATAACATTTTCAGAACAGGTACAATCAATAAATACAATTTTATAGATAGTAGATGCTATTGTATAATTGCAATATACATGTTGGTTCTTTATACTTTCCAGAATGCTTCAAATATATATAGGAAGACTTAAGTTAGTTCTTACTGAACAAAAAAGTACCTTAAACTCAGAGGAAAATAGTACCATACTTGGAAGTTCTGTAAACACATTTCCTGTTGGTTCTATTTTTTTTTAGAAAAAATTAAAATTACTTGAGTTTGTTCAATTGAAATAAAATTGAAAGAATCTGAAACTTAGGACCAGCTCCTACTTCTTGTTTTTACACCAGGAATACAAGAGGAGGTGGATGTGCTTGTTTATGCTGGGTGCAAATTACAAACCAAATTTGGCCAAAGGCATGATTTTTAAAAAAAATAATAAAATGAATTTCTACAGCAAACAGTGCTTATATATCTCTTTTCTCATCAACTAAAAAAATCCCTCATTAAAAGACACCCCCACACACACACACTCACTCACCCATATATCATTCTTAATAGAACAACAGATAGGATTGTTGGACAAAGAGAATAAGAAACTGTATTTGGACATGCTGATTTCTGAAAAGCTCCAATCCAATACAGATCCAATACAGAAAAATATTCTGAAATCATAATTTCTGAAACATCATAATATCATTTTTAAGACTGGAAGGTATTTTAGATTTGGAAATCATTTATCCAAATTTACCAAACCTCTTATTCACTGCTAGGAGTGACAAAACACCTACACTTAATTTTATGCTTTAGTGGATTTACAAGAAATTAAATGAAAGGGTTTGTGTTTTTTCCCCCCTAAGTTACCTTACCTGTCTACCAACATTCTCCTGGAAGGCAGCCTAAGAACAGAGAGAGCAAACATAAAAAAATGAGTCAGGTTTGCTTGCAGATAAACACCAGATCATGAATTCAAAACAAACACGCTGCAATATAAATGACCCATGGGCTTTATTTTAAAATGAAAAGTCAACTTTGTTAGCTGAATATGCCCTTAGGCAGTTGTTATGTGCTAATGCTCTTTTAAATTTATATGCTGTGTGCGAACAGTTTAGGAATGGGTGTTTATTAAAATCAGGCACACCCAGAACAGTGGCCTTCATTGCTGATACAATGCTTCCCGTAGAAATGAAAAGACAATGCCCTTAGAATACAGCTACTGAGAGAGAGAGATTTTCCAGGCTACTTCCGTAAAGTTATAAATGAGCCGTGTGCTGTAAATTTAACATTTTCATATATCTAAACTCTTCCTCCTCCTCCTTTTATAAATTATATGAGATGACAGATAGCATTAACTTGCTTGGAGTTATAAATAACTCCATTTATAGACTTCATAAATACGTTTTGATTTAAACATTCAGATTTAAACATTGGATCAATTATTATTTTTGTATTTTTTGTATAAAACTCAAGTATCATATTTCAATACTGCATGAGAGGGAAAAGGGAGATAAACCAACTTGACTGATAAAACCAAATTATGGTAAGATTCAAGTATTTGGCAGAATGAAAAGTAGAACTCTGTTTACCAGAGCTCAAAATACATATTTAATTGGCAAAGATGGTTGCTTAAACCTTTTTGTACATATGATATTGTACAAATTTAATATTGCAATATTAACATAGAACTTCCCTTCAATTTAACCAGCTGATACAATTTTGCCAACTGACATTGGCCATGGAACTTTTTGACTGTGAGCCCAAACAGATGATAATTATACTGCATTTTATTGTGCTAGAAATTCAATCAATGTATTTGAGAAGGACTTAAGAACCTAAGATACAACAGCTTCAATGAAATTTAGAAGAAACTCTTCTGTTCCACTAAACCTCTGAACTTCTCCTTGATTTCTCTGGTAATTTCAATGCAACCCACATAATAATAAAAGGATGAAAAAATTAAATTTTCTAGCTTAAATGGTTAGTCAGTTTTCAAAAAAGCACTTTTCTGAATCAATAAGTTACCGTACATCCTGAATTTTTTAAAAAATGCTCCAAAGTAAATATGGTTTCATATATTATAAACTGAAACAAAAGTAAATTCCATCTTTCTGCTATTCTTTCTTCCAAATAAAAAGTGTGTACTTTTATAGATGTGTGTATTTGTTTATACGCCCGTATCTGTCATCAAAAATTAAAATTCTAGGTGGTTATTGTATACATAAGAAGGAAAGGGGAAGGATGAATATGGTAGAATTCACACTGAAGGTAAATCATGGTAACAATAATGGTCCAAATGGCCCAAAATGCTTCCATAGAGCAATTTCAGTCTTCCTTTCTCCATAAACAAAAGCATTTTTTTTCCTTTTTAGGGGTTATATTCTGTTTATAACTCTTCTGTCCAATCACTTATAGAACAGAGCTGTATAGGACTGAAACAATTTCAAGGCAGCTACTCAAATTTAACAAAGCCTTGCTATCTATTTATTTCATGCAATTCTACATTCAATTTCTTGGGTAAATATATTTAAATATACTAAATCAAATATTCTGTTTATTATAGAACCAATTTATTCATGAATAAACCAGTTGATTTCAATGAGCTTCCTATGCTCATGAAAACGTGTTCACATATACATATACGTAGAGATTCTCTATATTCACACATATGAACAAAAACACACACACAAATACAAACATTGCATATTCAATATACAGTTAATAGTTAAACATGAAATATTTTTGCATATACTTTTAAAATATCAAATAATAAAATATTTCTCATTTTCTGTGACGGAGTGGGATTTTTTTTTAAAAAAAATAGATGTTTATAGAGAGTTTAATCCATGCTTGTCTATCTTAGATCAATAGAATAGTATAAGTAATAGACAACTAGTTAGACATCTAATATAAATAAATTTCAGTAATTAGCAGGAACTGCCTTCAGATAAGCTTCTTTTTCCACCATTACAATGTATTGCAAAGATGACAACTCAGCCTATTTCTAAAATTACACATAATTCCCACAGACATCAAAAGAGAATTTAGTACATAACTTGCAGCAATTTAGAATATTTTTAATTTCACAATATAAGTTGTCCATCTATTCAAATTAACAAGTTTTAAATTATGTAAATTATACTCATCAATCTGTTTTTTTTTTCTCTGAAACCAATAATTTGAAGAAAAACGAACTCAGTGAAGATATAAAACCATATGCAGACTAAATTTGAATGAAACTATGATTTCATAGTTTGGAAGAGTGAGAGAAGCAACTAGTTAATTAATTATTTTTGGGGGATGTTGAGTCATATTACATCTGTCTAAGCTTGAATTGTTGGTAAATATCCAAAATGCAATTGGCTACTTATTTCTGCCTCTATCTTTTGTTATGTCATGGGAAAACACAATTTTTATTCTAATAAACTGAAATTATAGCAATCTTTTAAATTACTAATTTCTGATTTAACTCACAATCAGTATTGTAGATTTTTATAAGAATATTTAATTTGTATTTAACATTTATATTAAATAGTTAAACATGTATTGGAATGTGATCATATGACATCTATAGAGTAACATTTGTTTCAGATTATACAAATAATTACTATGAAATTGCTTCAGATTATGAAAAAAATGAGGAAAAAGGATATAAAAGAGGATACAAACATAATTCATATCTCAATGTTTCACAATAAATATTATTATTCAAGAGGACATAAATATAATATTATAATTTATTTCTTAAACAGATTTATATGAAAAGTAAAGTGCTAACTGATAATAGGAAAATGCTATATCAAGCTTTTTTTTTAAGCCAAGAAAGAATTGACATAAAAGATGAGAAAAATAGAAGGATTTCTAATGTCCATGAACAATGAAGTGACCACAACAGAAACTGGTCAATTAACTAAAATTATACAAAAAAGACAGGTATGAAATAACCAAGACTGATAAACTGCCTAGCTTCACAGATTTTTAGAGTTTACATTTGGTAATATAATGTACAACAGAAATGTGTTTGTGTTAATATGAAGGTAAGGAGCAGAAGATCTGACAGTAGTATCTACTGATCCTTTTCTTTAATGGTTGGTTCCAGATCCAGGACTGAATTGAGCCTGTTGATTTTTTCAGAAAGCAGAACAAAGCCTGAAGAAAGGGAAATTCCTCCCAGCAGAACATGTGGGAGAAAAGAAATGAAGTTTTTCTTCACCCTGCCTTCTCATCCTATCCTATCCAGTCAAGTTTGTTAATAATGGTTACTACAATCTGTTGATTTTTATGTTCGCTGTAGTCCTACCAACAGATTGAAAATAAACAAGATACTTGCAAGATCATTTAACGATCCTTTTCTATATATATTAAAAACTTGAACTGAAATCAAAACCACCCAGTAGTGACATAATAGAAAGATCACTCTGTTCTTTCAGTCTTGGCTGTTCCTTTATACAATTGGCATATTGACTTGTTATAAAAACAATCAAACAAAGACAATACACTTTGTACATGAAGAATGAGACATGAGATATAATTTTCTGTTTTTATGTAAACCTAGGAAGTAAAATATTTGAAATAGTTACTGCACAACATAATGTACTGCCGAGAAAAATCATCTCAATACATTACTGTTGTCCCATAGATTATAATTAAACTTACCGAGGCTGCTCTTCTGCAGTTAACATCACGGTCAAATATAGCAGCTATAATCAGGGCACTGAAAAGAGAAAGGAAAAGGAAAACAGCCACCAGCAAGATTAGCAAAAATGTTTAAAAATATGTCAGATAGATGCTGTAAATGTAAACACAATGCAGGCACATACTATCACATTTGGTGGACATGTGGCAAAGCTAACGCTTATTGGAAAAAGATACATACGTGGTTAGAAAAAATATTAGGTGAACATGCTGATTTTAAACCTAACTTGTTTTACTAGGTATAATGCCTGAAAAGATTAATAAGCAGAGTTTATATTTAATTTTACACATCACTACAGCAGCGAGAATAATTTTCGCACAATACTGGAAGAATGAAGGATTGCCATCAGAAGAAGAAATAATCAGAAAAATATTGGAATGTGCAGAAATGGACAGATTAACTATGAGACTGAAAGATAAAGAAGACACAGACTACTACCAAATTTGGGACTTATTTTATTGTTGGTTAGAGGAAAGAATGAAGGGTTAGGAATCGAATATGTATTAGCATAGCTAACCCCAGACAGCTCGTTGATTGGAAAAATTAACATATGTATGCAAAAGAAAACCAATAAAATCTTTATAAAAAAAAGGAAAACAAAATGATAAAATTTGTCTTTTGAAGAATAAAAGAGAAGAACTATCATTTTTGTCTAAGGACTATACTAGCTGCATTCACTATTGGCTAAAATTGGTAAATTTCAAACTCTGTATTTGGTTTATAGTATGCTATATTTATACTGTAGCAAAGCATTTAAAATGTTTTTCAAGATTATACCAACATATGCATATTATTTCTGTTCTTGACTTGCATTTTTTTAAAAAAATTATGATCTTATGATGATCTTAATTTATAAGACAGGATACCCTATCTCTCAATACTGATCATTCAATAGTGGCTAATTGCAACATAGGTTTAAAAGGGAGAACTTTAACGATTGTAAGAGGAAACCATGTCAGTCTTTAGCAAAAATCAGGCATCTGGTAGCACCTTTACAGACTAACACATTTTACTAAAAGACATGAGCTTTTGTGAGCTATAGCTGAACAACTATAATGTATCATAAAAAGAAAAGAAGATCTGTAAGAGAGTTTATTTGTATGTGAGTGTTTAGTCCTTCAAGTTGTGTATTAGAAAAGGAGCTTACCAGACTTCTAATGTAAGGATAAAGGTTTAAAAGTTTAAAGATTTCCTCTGTCTAGTCGTGACTGACTCAAGGGGGCGGTGCTTAATGTCGATTCTCAGATGAGAATTGTCTAAGATGTTTCTATCATCATGTGGCCAACATGGAAATACAGAAAACTGTAACCTTCCCGCCAAAATGGCACCTATTTATCTGCTCACTTTCGAACTGCTAGGTTTGCAGAAGCTGGGGCAAGTAATGGGAGCTCACCCCGTCAGGCAGCACTCAGGTCTCAAACCCGGGCTCTTGGCTTTCCAGATGACAAACTCCAGTATCTTAACCACTGAGAAACTGCACCGCCCAAAGTAGGATAGGATTTTGCTTTCCTTACAGCAAAGCCAATATGAAAATATGAAGTAATCATCATGCTGTTTTCATTTTATAATAAACTAGTGTAGTATAACTGTAGATAAGAGCATGAAAAATTGAATTGCAGCAGTGAATGCTGTGGATTGGTCTATAGAAGGCCCTGTGATCCATTTAACACTATGGAATCTAGGATATTCCTATTATTTAATTTTACTACAATCCACCAGGATTCTTCCACATAAATGAGAACAGAATTCCTTTTATCAGCAGCAAAAATATTTGTAATTAACTTATTTATTTTATTCCACATTAATTCTATAGTGGAGATGTAATATACTGTACCTGATTTTTAGGAAACAATGTAAATTTATGTAGTGTTTTAAAATATATTAAATATTTTATTACAATACTACATATTTATCACTGTTTCAGGGACAAATATATAGAAATATAATTAAAGACAAGATCAGCAATAACTGTGTCATGGGAATAAATATCAAAACACTAATACAATATTTTAATGTATCTGTACTCTTATGACTCTGGACATAAAACTGAAAAAATGATTTTAAGAATTTCAAATCTTTTTTGTATTAAAAGTCATTCTGAACTATAAGGGACTAGTACCAAGATTCTGATTTAGAGATTAGTAATCATATGGATTTTTGAAAGCCTAATAATTGGAATAATTTATCCAGAGAGACAATGCCTTTGGATTTTCTAAAGTTGATCTGGCAAAAAAGAATATCCACAAACTCTGCCCCTAATTGTCTCCATACCACATATGTATATACCTAGAACTAGGACATTCAAACTATGGTTGTTATTCTGACACAATTAGCAATGGCCTTGATGCTCTGGAACACTTTGCTCTCAGAGCTGAGTGTGGCCCACACATTACTTGCCTTCTGCAAGGAAGGGAAAACAAACAAATTCCAAAGGTGATATAACTGATTCAAGTTAAAACACTGTAAACTAGCCTGCTTTTAAAGTCCCCAAATGGTTTAGGTCTTAATTAACCCAGGAGACTATAGTTCCCAATTTGAAGACAGCATCTCCAGAAAAGGCTTGCTGAAGATGCCTCTGTATATGATACACAGGACAAATTCTTCATCTGCATCATTCCTTGATTATACCATGGACTACTTGGGAAGCTGTATGTACTCACTAGAAACTCCTTAAAAACACATCTTTGTCATTAGATTTTAAACTGCTCATTACATTTAGTATCAATATGAGTTTCATTTTCTGTATTCTGTACTTTATTTTTGTTAGCTTTTCTGTACTTCATTTTTGTTAGCTTGGACAATGGCAAATCTTAAATCATATCAAAACTCAGCAGTAAACTTTCTTACCATTATAAAATGAGATACACACTTAAAATGAAACTATTTCAATTGGTAAATCATACTGGTTTACTATTAGCCATAAATTACCACAACTCATCTCATCAGCTTCTTTAATTACCATGAAAACCTAACAAATATAAATACATTCCTCTGTGTTTTATTTAGCATATTGAAAAATGAGAATCTGAACAGGTCCAAGAGAATAAAGAACAAACTCTAACTACTGTTACTTTCTTTGGATTCTTCCTTTCAGAACAAACCAGATTCTCTGATTCACAAATAATAAATGGAGTGTCTCCATATAAGCAAAGATGAACAACCCTGAAACTGATTAGGTTTGTGGACTGTTGTTATACAGGTAGTTCTAGACCAGTGGTTCTCAACCTGTGGGTCGGGACCCCATTTGGGGTCGATCGACCATTTCACGGGGGTCGCCAAGCAAGGCTGTCCACCATTTTTTTTGTCCGCCATTTTTTTTGTCCGCCATTTTTTCCCCCTTTTCCGGCGGGTGCCTTACCTCCCTTGAGCTGGGCCAGCTGGTGGTCAGCCTGCTCCGTCTCTGCTGCTTGCCAGCTACGCCTCGGCCGGCGCAGGGGGCGGAACCACGCATGCACGGTGCTCCCGGGCAGGGAAAGTCCTCGACTTACAACCGGTTTAGTCCTCGACGTACGACCGGTTTAGTCCTCGACTTATGACCGGTTGGGGTCACGGCATTAAAAAGGTTGAGAACCACTGTTCTAGACTTAAAACCATTTGTTTAGTGGCCATTTAAAGTTACAACGGCATTGAAAAAAATGACTTGTGATCATTTTTCATAGTGCAACATCCCCATGGTCATGTGATCAAAATTTGAATGCTTGGCAACTGATTCATATTTATGATGGTTGCAATGTCCCAGTGTTACCTTTTGCAACCTTTTGCCCAAGCAAACTCAATGGGGAAGCTAGATTTGCTTAACAACTGTGTGCAGTGATTTAACAACTGTGACAAGATAGGTCGTAAAATGGGGCAAAACTCACTTAATAAATGTCTTGCTTAGCAACAGAAATTTTGGGCTCAATTGTGGCTGTACGTTGAGGACTACCTGTACACATGAATATGAACACATATTTATTTATATACATTCACATACATTATAGTATCCTTGCTGGACTCGCTAAAGGGGCAGCGGGAGCCTCAATCTCCTTCTCCTTCTAAACTTCCTGGTAAGACTTTACTGGTAGAGAGAATGATGAGATTTTCTATCTCCTCCAGGATCCTGAATAAACTCCTCAGAAGGAAGCTATCCTGTGGTTTGCTTTCTGATCAGCCCCTGTTCAGATGTTCAACATTCTTCTGGAGACTGCTTATTTGATTGAGGGAAGATCTGGTCCCCTGCACCACAGTGCTTCCCACCAGACCACTGTGAATTTTTTTGCAGGCTGCTAAAGGGCACATATTATTGCACTAAATATGGACTAAAAGGGTACAAGTAGAGAAAGTTAGAAATGAAACAATGGGACAGAACCAATGCCAGAGCCATTGTCAGACTTTAGGTATAAGAGAAAAAGCCTGCATTTTGAAAGACCTCATTGGTCTATTTTGAAAATATCTTTAATCACAAAATCTGAACATGCTAATGTGGAAAGTGGAGATACAGGTGTCCTTGACTTACAACCATTTGTTTAGTGACCATTCAAAGTTACAATGGCACTGAAAAAATGGCTTATGACCAGTTGTGGTCATTCAAGGATGTTAATAAGGTTCGAGAAGGCAGCATTTTCAATATTAAGCAAAATTCAAGAACACGGAGGGCACAATCTCAAACTTACAGGAGGGAAGTTCAAAAGTAATGTTAGAAAGTATTACTTCACAGAAAGAGTAGTGGAAGCTTGGAATCAACAGAGGTGGTGGGTCAATCATCAGTAACTGAGTTTAAATATGCATGGGATAAACCATCATCCAACAAAAAAATTTTTAAAAAAAAACTTCAAAGGGCAGACTCAATGGACCACTAGGTCTTTTTTTTTACCATTAGGTTTCTATGTTTCTAGTTTTCACATGATCAAAATTTGGGCGCTTGGCAAGTGGCATGTATTTATGATAGCTATCCTGTCCCAGGGTCATATGATCACCATTTGTAACCTTCCCAGCTGGCTTCCTACAAGAAAAGTCAATGGGGGAGGCCAGATTTGCTTAATGACTGCATGATTCACTTAACTGCCGTGATTTGCTTAACAACTGTGGCCAAAAAAAAGAGGTCTAAATGGGACAAAATTCACTTAAAATCTGCCTTGCTTAGCAACAGAAATTTTGGGCTCAACTGTGATTAGTAAATTGAGGACTACCTGTATGGAGTGCAAATTTACTTAATATGTAACAGAAATTGCTCTTGAGAATGAACTCGTCAGGCAACAAACTTATTCGTGTAAAATTATTCTCAGCATTTCATCACAGTACAAGATGTAGCTCTGAGCAATATTCATATTTCCTGATTCTGCAGGCTAATCTTGTCCTCGGGCCAAGTGGCTCCATTTACATGAGAGCCACACCTCTCTTTTCTTCTCACCATGCAGTACTCCAGGGAAGACTAAATTGCCTGCACTCCCACACTTCGACCAAATCTTTCTGACTTGAAATATAGTTCAATTCTGAAGCACAGATAAAGGAGGAGTTTTCCCATCTTCTCAAGAGTAAACTCCAGTTCTAATTATTTTTATCTGTCAGTTCTCTAACCACTGCCAAAGCAACAAAATTATCCAGCAATTAAACTAAGTAGAACTTTTAAGTAAATATCTTAAGTCTTTTTAATAATTATAGAAACTCAGCATTATACTGTAACCTCCCACAAAGAAGCTTTTCAATAAATCATAAAAATATTATAATATTGGCAGGGTTTTTTTCTTCTTCTATTCAATTATGCCCAATTTTTTAAGATTGCCTGGACAAGTCCCTGTAATTTTGCTGGTAAGGTTTTTCAGAAGTGGTTTGCCATTGCTTACTTCCTAGGGCTGAGAGAAAGTGACTGGCTCAAGGTCATCCAGCTGGCTTTGTGCATAAAGCAGACTAGAACTCGGTATCATCCAGTTTTGAAACTGATAATAATAATAATGATAAAGTTGGAAGGGACCTTAGAGGTCATCTAGTCCAACCCCCTGCTCAGGCAAGGAAACCCTATACCATTTCGGACAGATGGCTGTCCAGTTTCTTCTTAAAAACTTCCAGTGTTGGTGCGTTCACCGCTTCTGGAGGCAGGTTGTTCCACTGGTTAATTGTTCTAACTGTCAGGAAGTTTCTCCTTAGTTCTAGGTTGCTTCTCTCTTTGGTTAGTTTCCATCCGTTGCTTCTTGTTCTGCCTTCAGGCGCTTTGGAAAATAGCTTGACACCCTCTTCTTTGTGGCAGCCCCTGAGATATTGGAACACTGCTATCATGTCCCCCCTCATCCTTCTCTTCGTTAAACTAGATATACCCAATTCCAGCAACCGTTCCTTATATGTTTTATATGATGTCTTACCCATTATACCAAACTGGCTCTCATTTGGCAGTTACCTATATATTATTTTTTAAAAAATATTTTATTACATTCCAAAGTAGCCGTAATAGTCACCCGATCTGCACTCTCTCATGATTTTTCTGATAGCCTTCTTATTCACACTCACTAATAACAATCCATTCAGTTCTGCTTTCATGGCTTTTTATATCACAATTAGGCAATGTTATGCACTGGAATTTACTTGAAAATATTATTCAAGTTTTTGTATTACTTTTTTCTGTTATATACAATGTGTCCATACAATATCTAGGTCAAAGGGACCAATCATCATGCCATGCAAACAGTTAAAGCCAATCAGTGTATGCATATGTTATAGGCCAGTGGTGCCAGAGGCGGCACTCAGAGCCCTCTCTGCGGGCACGCGCGCTGTCGCCACAGTCCTAGGCCTTCAGCTGGGTGATATAAAACCTTTTCGCTTTAGGCCTCCGCCACTGTGTACAAAAAAAAAGGTTCAATCAGTCAATCTCAACTTCTCGCGGAAAAAAAAAAATCTTGCAAAGTTGGAATTGATTGATTGAAGTTACCACCGCAGCCACGCCCACCCAATGGGCCACACCCAGCCAATGGGCCACACCCACCCAGCACCCAACGATGCATAAGTGGGTTTTGGGGTGCAGTTTGGGCACTCGGTCTCTAAAAGGTTCGCCATCACTGTTATAGGCATTAGAAGAGATTACTTTAGGCCAGTGTTTCTAAATCTTGACAATTTTAAGGCATGTGGACTTCAACTCCCAAAATTCCACAGCCAGCATTGCTGGCTGTGGAATTCTGGGAGTTGAAGTCCACATGCCTTAAAATTGTCAAGGTTGAGAAACACTGCTTTAGGCCAAACTAATGGGCTACATAGTGAGTGAAATGGATTGGAGGAGATAAAGTTCCCCAAATTCCCACCTTTTTAGCCATCCTTATGACAGCTAACTCTGCATTACTAATTGTTCAACATTTGAGTAGGGTAGTTAAAATAATTACAAATATCTAGAATAATATCATTATCTGAGATCACTTGGCTAAACTTTCTTTGGAAATATTTGTTCAAAGAGTGAACTGGTATTCTGTAAAAAGATAGCAACAATTTGTTTGTGGCTAAATAGATGCCTCTTCTCAGACAGAAGAGAAGACACACCTAAGGCTAGAACTAAGAGACAAGAAAGAAAAGATATGTGATTACTGTTATTGGCAGTAAACCAAAGTATACTAATACAGGTGAAACTATGCGTCATGCTCCCAAAAGTTCCTGATTCTCAACATACAGTTTATTGCTGAGCTCCCACATTAAACTATTACAACTGGAAAAGCAAACAAAACAAAACAAGAAACAAAAAAAAACACCCCAAACTTTTCTCACCTATACAATCACTTTAGTAGAATACCTTTTATCATAGGTAACAGAATCCACAGGGACAGTTCCATTTAGTTTCATGAGTACATAATGAAACTTGTTAGCTATAGATATATATGTATATAAAACAATATGTTTTGCATACAACATATAGAGATATAGTTTGTATATACAGTATACTGTACATACGTATATGTATACATACTTACAATGTATACTTATATATATAAAATTATCATACATACAGTATATATAATTGATGCCCAAATGTAGTGAAAATAGTATCATGAACTACTCCATGCCAACAAGAACCTAAAGTTAAAGCAAGTGTGTCAGCTGTAACTATGATGATGGCATTTGTTTTATCTCCAGAAAATGTTTTCAAATAAGAATGCACTGAATGTGGCACAATCAAGAGGTTCTCCAGAAGTTGGACAGATCTACATTGGATACGTTCTCTTATATATCCTGAATCCAAGTATTTTAAATATTTTAAATAAGATCTTATAATAGCTCTACATTTAGCCTTTCAAGGAGCATTAAGATGAAATGTTCTTTCATTATTCATTTCTTGAAAAAATATTTCACGTAAAGAAATTGGGGTATTTGTATTTCATTACAAATACAAACTTACCTTGCAATCTGGTTAACAAAAGGTCTCAGTTCTAAAGGGTCATAGGCACGAGCAAAAGCCCAACATACGTAGCAAGCAGAATCTCGTACATTGGAGCCAACACTGCAAGCTCCCCGTTTTTCATCGAAAGTTAGTCCTTTCAAAATCACAGGAACAACTGGAAGTTTTAAAAGAAGACGTATTAAGAAACAGTCACAGAACCTGATTTTGTGAAAATACACACTGTGTTGAACTCTTTTTTTACCAACTATTCAATTTTGGATGTAAATAAAGATTTTATGTTTTAAAGATCCAATGGTGTGACTTCAGGATCGCGATTCCTTTGCACTGCAAGCCTTTCTATTCACAGGATATCAGTGACTACTAAATCCTTATGCTACATTATATATTTTATATCAACCAAACATAGTTTAGATATATAGCAGTTGCTACGGAATAATGGAACATGTAAATGACTGCCAAATTTCTGAATACCATTGGTTAAATATCATGTGATGCAAAAGATTGTCTCAAATGTCTCTTGACACAAATCAACTGAGGTGCTTGTTTTTATGCACCCCACCAATCTATATTGCCCTCAATCCTCTAGAGCAGAGTTTTGAAGGAACAGACTACAAGTTTAAGACAAATCCTTTTTGTTATGTTGATAAGATTAAACAAAGAAGCAGTCTTTTTTGTTTTGGTTGATAACATTTTTGTGTCGCAGGCCACAATGGAACTGAGTAAGCACATGGAGGATGTTATGGAGGCCTGCTTCCTTATTTATAATGTAGCTTTTACGATTAATATAATGAATCACCAAACACCATTATCCAGAAAACAAAGGGATGAGGTTGCTTCCTAGTAGTCCAAGATATTCAAGCAGCTTCATCTTTCTATGATAGATCCACATGTTTTCAAATAAAATTCTGAGTCGTAATTATCTATATTTTTTATTTTCTAAGAATTGCAGATGATCCCATTACATAAAATAATACATAAGTTCCTGGTGAGCTGTTCTTAACAAATAGGGTAGATACAAAATGTCCTGAGCTTGAAACTGTGTTTATAATTTCAACTTTAGAACAAAACACCCTGTAATCTTCGGCAAAACACTATGAGGCACTTTTCCCGAATTGTTTTATAATGCCCACCACTGGTTGATAGTTTTGTATTGTTTCTAACCCAAATCAGAGTCTGTCTGCACCCCAGCAAAATAACTTCTGAAAACTGAACAGAATAGGACCAAAAACTGAGGGTAGGGAGGGAGACAAGGATGGATGGATGGATGGATGGACGGATAAATGAATGAATGAATGTTGAAGCTGCTTATAAACAGAATCTCCCCCTCCCAAAAAATTGCCAATATAGTTGTGGCAAATAAAACACAGTACTATGGGACAGCTGTTTAGACTATTCATGACTGCTTCCTTCTAAGCCCCTCCCCCTTCCCTATTTCAGAGCTGAGTGTATTGAAGCCATTGTAGATAATCACTTTAGATAATGCTGCTATGCTATTGAACTTTCAGGACGTTAAATGAAAAAAATGTTCCTTTTGTTCTTTTTTCATAGGCTTATAAATGTGAAAACTATATACAGTACACATGAATTAGGAAGAAGCCTCCAGCTGTCAGTCAGAGATAGTATATTTGCTATTGTTTATGAGATGTATTGTACTGGATCTATTCTTGCTTCCTAGCTGTATTTATTTCTATGACTGTAGGCAAGCTAAAAATATGTTGAATTGCTGTTTCTACAAATTTTGATTATAAATATTATATAAAAACATTTTTAAGGCTCAATTTCTGACTAAACAACCAATCCTTCAGCAGGCTGCATTGTATGAAACATCAAACAGAGATTTCCATTTCACCTATTTTGGTTGCCTTAAGATGAAAAATGAGGAAATAAGGAACTTAATATGAACTTAATTCCTATGGCAGAACAATGATATTGTTTTGACTTTTATTCTCTTGGAACACAAAAAGCTTAAAGAGGATTCCACAGAACAGTAGGAGTGGAAATGTTTTGTTTCAAGCTCAGAAGACAACTTCGATTTGTTTCATGAGCATCCTTCTTAACTAGGGCCTGTTCTTTGGAACTCTCTTATCATTTTGCATAATCACAACCAATATTTCAAATGGTAGCCCAAGAAAATGAGGATCCCACAGATAAAGGTAGTTGCTTATTCGATGAGTCAAATGATTCTTAAAAATAACAACTGAAAATAAAGTGGGAGCATATTTTAGTTTCAAAAACTATAATGAGCAACAGATAAATATATTCTCCAAAATTAAAAACCTTTCCATTATATTAGGGGGGGAAAGTTTTAACAATTCATTAGCCATCCTGCAGCTTCTTTTTTTCTTCTTCTTCTTTTCAGCTGAAGACATTTGCGAATTAAATCTTTCACACAGTTCTAATGGTATACTGCCAAAGTCTACAAATACACATGTTTCTTTAAAAGGCTTCCTCTTGGCATCTTCCAGTGGGGTCTTATAGTTTAAACACTATGCTTATTGAACTGCAATTTAAACAATTGAACTGCAATTTAAACAACCTACAGTAACAACAATCTGAAGGGGAAAGAGTCCCTTAATTTTTGCATATTCCTCACTTGGACATAATTTGCCATCCAAATCTCACTGGACGAGTAAATATAGGAGGGCAGAGCTGGGGAGGGCAGAGATATATGCATTTCACATAGCACATGTTTAGAAATAAATACAGCCCTGAAAAGAGTTCCACTCTCTCTGTTTTCATTAGAAATTCTGTGGTTTAACAATTAAAAGACTGAAGACTTGCATTCTTTCAATTTCAATACTTGAAACAAAGGAGATAACTTAAAACATAATACATGCAAAGCACCTTAACAGGTAAAATAATTTTATGAATTATTACTATTATTAATATTAATCTTTCTGCTTTAATAGTTCTATCTTATCAAGCCCTAGCATTCTTGTGGTGGCCCGTATTATATCTGTAGCAGTGTTTAGAATATCTTGTAACATAAATTATGAGAAAATCATAATTTATAAAGATACTTTGAAGACTGAAGGGAAAACAAAATTGAAATAAGAGTTGGGAAAACAGGGTATTGGCTTAATAAGGTGACTTCAATTGCAAATAAAACTGAGACATGAACTGGATAGAAAAGATGTAATCTAGAACTATTGTTAGTAGATATAATATTAGAAAAATATGATGGAGAACTATATACTTAATACTGTATGTATGTTATATGTATTAATAGCAGAAAGAATTGCATCTGTTTAGTGTTTGAAAAGTGAAGAGTACCATTTGAAGAAGGGATTAAGAAAATACCAGAATGTATAGAAACTGACAGAGCGATATTGAAGAACAAAGAAAAAGAAGACACAGAATAATTTTAAAATGTATTATTAACTAAAAAATGAACCCAGACAACACATTGTTTACTAAGCACCTATGATTTGTAAAAATAGAAAATCAATAAAACTTTATATCACCGAGACCTGGTTGGGCACGGAAGGGGGAGTGCCCCTCGTTGACATCTGCCCGCCAGGTTTCCAGGTATTCCATCAGCCAAGGACCCGGGGTAGGGGCGGTGGGGTAGCGGTCATTATAAGGGAGAATCTATGTCCGAGGGAGACCACTGTGCCTCAGATAGACGGTGGAGAGTCCCTCCTTGTGAAGTGGGGG